TCTTTTCCCCCCCAGTCTTCAGGTAAGTGACCATGTTTACTAAGGGCAGATTACTAGATCTCATATTACTTCCTGAAAGTCTGGCACATGTGACTAGGACATGTGACCATGCACACAATCTCAGGGGAGGAAAATGCCTTTCCCTGAGATCTCATGAGATTACAGATCAGATTTCCCAGCCATGCTCTGCTTATGTAAGCTTCCCAGCATGCAATACTTTGGCACATTACATCATTTGTGGCAGAAGTGGACCAGGAAGTAGATGAACTCTATTTGTAAGTAAATTATTATTATTATACAGGATTTATATAGCGCCAATAGTTTGCACAGCACTTTACAATATAAGGAAGACATTACAATCACAATACAATTCAAGACCAGATGGTAAGGTGGGCCCTGCCCGTGAATGAAAAACAGGTTTGTTTAACTAATGAATGTAAGATGATTTTAAATGAGCATGGAGAGGTCCGCTTTAATACCCTCTATAACTGGCGGTATGACAGGGGCATGTGCCCATTGACTAAATACATTGTGCTGGAATGTGCACCTCCAGACATGTAGAGTAAACATATGCTTATTACGGTATTATGTATGGATCCATGTGGCTGTAAAGCTTTATCAGCATAGCGCAAAGAGCTACAAGAGTGTCCCAGAGGACACATTATTCAAATCTGGCCTTGTTAGTAGTGAGATATGATTGATCCAACTGGTGGCAGGGGGGGACGCTGAAACCCCTGCTTCTACATCCTATAAGCTTATAATTTATATTCTTCTCGTGTATGAAAGTACACATCATAATAGACACTCTCAAATTGGAAACTGGAGAAAGGATTAAATATAAACTACCTCCACCTGTGTAATCGTATCTTTTAATCTTATCTTAATTTTTAAAATTATGCCGTTGATGTCCAGGCCACTTATGTGAAATAGAGCTCATTTAGCATAAATAACGAATTCTATAACTGACACAATATTAAAAGAAATCTATATTTGTCCATTTTTTATTATTATGCTTAGCACAACAACATACATATTACTATTTAGATTTATTTTCAATCACGCAAATATGACATTTAATATATAAGTATCTCCTATAAACCGCCTGCAGCTAGCAGACAAAGCTCTAAGCCAGGCTCAATGTGCAGCTAAAGTCTCAGCTGGCTAAACAGAGACCTAAATGAGACAGAGGAGGGACACATCTTTGCTAGCAAAGAGGGAAACAATGTAACTCATGAATTAACTCAGTCTGCAGAAAGTATTAAAGTTACACTAGGCTCAGGAGTTAAAGCTTACAGATGCACTATAGTCAGGGCCGGACTGGCCATAGGGCATACTGGTGGGCCGGGCTGAACTACCATTGGTGCCTGGGGGGCTGGGGGGGGGGGGGTTCAGTAGATCTAGGCACAAGATTGGTGGCAGAATAGGGCAAGAAATGGCGGGGGGCACCGGCAGTGAGAAAGGAGCCAGGAGAGAGCCGGCTGCAGAAAATACATACACACGATGCACAGCAGCCTGCAGGCACACTGTGAGGTCGCCTTGAGGCCTTGGTCAGGAGGAACCAGCGAGCAGCCACCTAATTACACAGCCCACAGCCTCTCCCTGCTGCATGATGTTCCCGCCGAGGAAAGCCAGATAAGGTGAGTGCTTTTATCTATGTGCCTATGCTCTGTGTGTTCTGTGACCTGTTTTCTCAGCCCTCTATAACTGATGGAATTATTCTGCATTTCTGTATAAAGTATTGGGGGGAGTTGTAGTCCTGTATAACCATTACCATTCTGCATTTCTGCATAAAGTATTGCTGGGCGTTGTAATCCTCTATAACCATTACCATTCTGCATTTCTGTATAAAGTATTGCTGGGAGTTGTAGTCCTCTATATCCATTACCATTCTGCATTTATGTATAAAGTATTGGTGGGAATTGTAGTCCTCTATAACCATTACCATTCTGCATAACGTATTGCTAGGAGTTGTAGTCCTCTATAACTATTGCCATTCTGCATTTCTATATAAAGTATTGCTGGGAGTTGTAGTCCTCTATAGCACAATTTTAGTTTTTGCACGTAGGCGTACTGACACGTGTTTGCGTATGTATCTGTGTGCACATGCGGGGCAGGGACTTTTTTTTCACATTAACTTTTTTTTTATTTTATATTCCAACAGTACATTAGACAAATAAATTTAAACACACACATATAAAAAAATAATTTAACAATCACAGTAACTTACATCATCATTCTTCTCAACCCTCCAGAGAAAGAAAGAGGGGGAAAAAAAAACAAAAACTTGTGCATATACATGCACATGAATGCCCACACACATATGCAGTCCCCAAATCTATTAATAAGTACATTAGTACATTAAAATCACCCTATATCTATTTAATTATATATGGCAGGGGAGCGGGGCACTTTAAAAAAAAAGCATTTTTTTAAATTGCATTTTTTTAATTTTCTTACGTTTTTTTTATTTTTTATTTTTTAAACACTTTATTTTTTTTACACTAACCTTATTGCTATCACATAGGGGGGCTAACAATCCCCCTATGTAATAGCAGATAGGGTTTGACAGGTCCTCTTAATGGAGACATCAGGGGTCTTTCAGACCCCTAATGCCACCTAGGGACCCCAAAAATGCTGAGGAAGCAGGGATCTGCTTCCTCCGCTTCTTCTCCTGGCTCTAAGAGCCGGAGAATGTAAATAAACCTTAACACTTCTGGGTGCAGTGATGGGAGGAGAGATTAGCAGCTGGAAGCCTGCTTATCTCTCTTCAATCATTGCGGGGAGACCCACTGTTCCGGTCCCAGACCCGCACAGGGGACAATGGAGCCCGGGCAAGCCAGCAGTGTCCCCGGTGGGGGGGCACAGTGCCGCACTGTACAAATGGCAGCAGCAGTGTTCTTGTCTTGGTTTAACCACTTCTGCGAGCCACTGTATATGTACGTATTGCGGCCTGAAAGTGGTAAGGGGTGTCATGTACACACCATATAATATAACTGTATGTGGTTAATGAATGTAATGATAGTGTATAGTAAAATATAAAATTTTGTTCACTTTTCTTTGTTTATATTTTTCTCCACATTTTCAAGAACAGTAAACCGTCCAGCAAAATCTGACAGTGACAGGAGCTGGCAATAACTATAACACTGCCAGGTGTGCATGTGTAGTTGCAGAAACTTTGTTTGTTTTTCTTTTCTTTAAAGTAGTACTGAACGCTCAACCTTTTTTTTTTTAACCACTTGAAGTCCGCGGTGTTACACCCCCTTCCCATCCAGGCCATTTTTCAGTATTCAGCGCTGTGATACTTTGACTGACATTTATTCCGTCACGCAACAATGTACTGAAATTCATTTTATACCCTTTTTTGGGGATGGATAGAGCTTTCTTTTGGTGGTATTTAACCACCACTGGGGTTTTTATTTTTTACTATATTAAGGAAAATTTACAGAAAAAAAAAACTGTTTCCCCTATATTAAATTCTAAAACATTTATTATTACCCAATTTTTTGGTAAAATAAAAAAGACGGGGTCACGTCGGGTAAAAAGACACCAAACATGTCAAGCCTTAAAAGTGCACACGTGCACAAAACCTCAAAAAACTACATTACCCAAAATTGGCCATAGGCAACACTTTAAAAGCTTTTACCGCTCATCAGTTTAGTGTTATCAGTGATTGATGGCCCTAAAATGATTGCTCTCACTCCGATGTTCGCAGCGATATGTAACGTGTGTAGCGCAATTGTCGTTTAGGAAAAAAATGCCGTCTGGAGATGGCAACCCGCTGATGTGAGTCTGCCATCCGTCCGTTTTTTCTTAATGGGTGGACGGAGGGAGGTTAATAATGAATTTAGATCAAGCAAATAAAATTGCTCAGCAAAGTATTTCTTTACATTTTTGCCAAATTACTTTGGCAAAAATGATCACAAGGGAGAGAGCAGTCTGCACCAGCCATCCATCTACTAGCTTGGAGAAAGGAGGAGGGATGAAGGAGGGGCAGGGATCAGGGCAGTGACTTGTGTGTTTGTGGTGACACATACAGCTTACTAACACACACAAAACAGGATATCAGGGCCAATGTTCAGGGGTCCAGCACAGACGTAAGACCTTTCAAGATCAAGAAGCAGCATCCATTGTAAGCTATTTAATCAGCATTTGAAATAGCTTAAACTCGTTTGACTTTATTATAACTTTAAAGTAGGTTTTAAACCATTGGAATAAAGTTTGATCATTGTAAGTACCCTTGACATTGATACAGTTTGTCCCAACCTTTGTCACTGTCATTGAACGTCTTGGTCAGTCTGGACAGAAATAAAAATAAAGGCATCTGACCAGGGGCGTAACTAGAAATCACAGGGCCCCATAGCGACATTTTGTATGGGGCCCCTTTTATCTCTAGTTACACCCTTTGCAGAGCCCAATTGAGATCCCACACAGCCCACCTGAGGGTGACCCTGCAGAACCCACCATAGACTCTCTAAGGTGGGCTCTGCAGGATCACCCTCAGATGGGCTGGTCACACTCCTTACCTGCCCGCCTCCTCTTCCTCCACCGTCGGTGATGAGCCCTGCCTCCTCCGCTCGTCACCGGGCCCGCCTCACATGTCGCCGGGCCCCGCCTCCTCTGATGCCAACCCCGGGCCCCGCCTCCTCCACTGCTGGGTCCACCCTGCTCCACCGCCGCTGCTGGCTCTCACTGACTCAGCAGAGGCTGTGGAGAGGAACGCGTCGCTGCACAGATCACTGTCAGTGATCAGAACAGCGGCACATTTATCTTCACAGCCACCAGTGTAAACCAGCAGCATGAGATGCCAAAGCGACCCAGGCAGCCCGCAGGGCATCAGGAACATCCTGGCCAGGCCCCCCTGTACCCCGGGCCCCGTAGCGGCCGCCTGGGTCGCTATGGTGATTGTTACGCCACTGCATCTGACATAACAAGCAGTCTATAAACCAAAGTATTGCCATTTCATGCATTATCCATGTACAGGTATCAGAATATAGCATTTTTCATGATAGCTGTCGATTAAAAATAAAATTATAATCATCAGCACGAAAACAAACAATTTGACCTGAATTGTAAAGTTTGTTTATTAAAAAACTGTGCATCATAACCAAATCGAGTTATCTTATAATTAGGATAAATGATTAGACCAAACAGTAGCAAAAAACTCAACTATAATTTATCATAAGACAAATATTTTTATAAAGTTGGTATAAAACATATCATAGATTTGAAATGTGTACTTTTTACATATTATTTGAATATTATAATAATTATTATTTACATTTGAAAGACCAAGCACCTTATTAAGAATGCTACTTATGAAATTGTTCATTAATTGGTATCACAATTGCAAAAACACTTCCAACATGATCTAATTTTAATAAAAAGGTGCAAAAGTCTTTTTTTTAAATGTTTTTTTTCTGACTAGGTTTTAGCTATACGTATAATAAGTGATTTGCATAACAGATGTAAACAAATTGGAAAAGTATACAGGAGGGGCCTGCTGTGCAATATAATTGCTTCTTTACATACTCCTTTATGCCCAAAGAGAAACTTTCTTTTTTTTTCTTCAAATAAAAGAGCAGCATTCGGCTCGGCTGTTCTGCTCGGTCCCTCGAGGGACCGAGCAGATGCTATTACTTAAGACATGCTAGGCCCATATGTTTCTTTTTAAATCTAGCGGTTTGCTGTAAAATATATTTTGAACTCCCATTTTACTTTCATCTGCTCTACTAAATCACCTCGTCCACTTTTGTTTAAGTGTCGTGCTAAGAGTCGGTACTTGTCTGTTGATGTGGGGAGTCTTTTCTTCCAAAGAGTTAGCAGCTCATAGACTTGAGCAGCTAAATTATCTGGGTTCTTTAGCCTCACCAGCTGGACAGTACTCCGCCGAAGAGGAAGAGACAGCAACAGTTCAGTGGCATCTTCTTCTGAGAGTTCATGAGAAACCCATTTTAACACACTGTCCCACAGAAGGTCTGTCAACAAAGGAAATATCAGTCAACTAATAGCACCATATTGAAAAATTCAGCAGACTAGGGGTGGGTCAGTGACCAAGCTGTACTACATAACTACATTCATGGAAGGATAAATCTTCTAATAGATTATGTTGTATTATAGGAGGACAGGAGAGTTACCAATCTGTTGGCAGATGATTCAATTCAGATCTATGTGGTTCAATTTTGAATTTGTCTGTTTGCCTTGATTCCAATTTTAAAAAAAAATGTACTTTCATGCTTTAAAAACCTTGTATGCATATATCACAGCCCATATTCAGGATTAGACTCAATTTGGACAGTGCACAAGAAGGGACCCTGCCACAAGCTGGTGTGTTCCTATTCAAACTTCAATTGCCAGCTAGGGTGTAGCCAGTCTGAGCTCTGATTATTAGTGTTGTCTGAATTTGTTGGGTTCCCCTAAGCCTAGTGCCTTTTTTTACTTCTGTCTATTGCCAGGGAGTGTTTTCCAGCAGATAGCACAAGAAAATACAGTGTTATGGTTTATGAATATTAATTTAACTCTTGGAAAATTAAAAGGAGATTTATTGACAAAGATGTGGGCTGGGGAAGGAGATAAATAATCAGGGAACCTTTCTAGAAGGGTCCTTACCTCCCAGACTTTGCCTGATAAGGATACTTATATGTGCAATGGGCTCCCATGCGAGGGGGGGGTGGGTAGAAGAGTAGAAAGGCCCTCTCAGGTCTTCTGACTAGGGAAGAAAGTGTTCTAATGCCGGGTCCCAAAGATTGAAATGGATCTATGCTGGGGCCTGTCAGACAGCTACCAGTCTGTGGGAGGAGTTAAAGTTATTTACAAGAGAAGGAATTTGTTGCTGCTATGTTTGGGTATCCTGTAACCCGTGACCCTCTCTCCCCCGGACTTTGAGCCAAGATATTTTGACAGGTTTGATATTGCTCATTTGATTGCCACTGGTGGGTCAATGTGTGCAACTTGGGGAAACAGTATGCCAGTACACCAGTAGAAAAGCTAGGAGGGCCCGTTAAACTAGGAGGCTCTTTAGGGGGTCATCGCTACATACATACTCATATAGGTCCAAATATGGCCAGTGACCTCGCAAGGAACTCCAGGGAGATACCGCCCCAGAGTTCCCTGCACATTAAAATCATTCATCTGGCAGGAACCCTCTCTATGCTCAACCTAAAGAACAAGTAGTAATTAGGAGGGGGCTATGCTTCTTCCTCTGGGATCCCACATACTTTAGAGCTCCACAAAAACCTAGAAGGTAAATATTAGTAAAATTAGAATGAATCAAGTACTTTTAAAACAGTGTTATGCGTTATTTTTTGTTTTTTAGCTGCACGCACTGGTAAAATGGTTAGAGCCACAAGAGACATCTAATACCAGTTTACCAGGGAGGTGGAGATCACCAAATTGGCAGGTAGGACAGGCACAAATGCCTCCTTCCTGAAGAGCTTGTCAGCATTAGACACCCGTGCTTTGGGATAGGGACCCACCATTGGGGTGGGGGGGGGGGGACAACTTTTAAAGCAGCCTCTAGTGTGGAAGGATATGCTGGTGTTCTGGGCAGTTTAGTATTGGTGGGGAAAAGGGGAGTGGCATTCTAATTTTTATCACTAACTGCTACATTCACCTGGTCCACATTCATTCTACTACAAATAGGGTGAATGTAAGAGTAACATGCCATGTTAATGTCACTTGGGCTAATAACGCTAAATGATTTACAGGGTGAATTTCCCAAAGTTCTTTATAAATATACCCCTTATCATATCATATGCACTCAATACTTGCTCTGCTTTCTGCTTAGTAGTGCTGCACATTGGTGGTGCCCTGCTGTTTCTTTTTATCTTATGTTAACCTATCAGGCAGGTTCTTTTCGACTGAAAACAGCAGACCCTGTACAGCAGGTGATCTTTGCCTAAGATCTAGATCATATGAGGGAGCCTCTTGATTATTCTTGGTCAGAAATAGTTAATTTTTTCCATCAAAATAATATGATCTGGTACTGAGTGCACTTTAAGAAGAAACTTGCTATACATAATACAGAAATAATTACCTCCGGGATCGCCTGTTATTAGTTTTGTACTTGATGGCCGACTGAAGTTTTTCTCCACCTGGGAGTATAAAATATTAAACAATTTACCATGTAAAGTAATATCAGTAAATTACAAAATTGAATATGCACTTGAGTAAGTCAGCAGTTGCAATGTTAATAACTAACAGAAGAAATAAAGCAATTATATTTTTTTACTTTATCCAAAAAAGGATTTTATTTCAAACACAGTTCACTGTATTTTATAAGGAGATACGATTGGAAATCAGTTTTTAAAGGCAACTTGGTGCTGTATATGAGTAACAGTATTGTCAATATGTTACCATTTTTATTAAGAGATAATACATTCATATACAGAAAAAAGTTTTCCTTTGACTAGATCATTTCTTTGAAGCTACCAAATGTGAAATCAAAACTTTTCACAATCTTCTTTTAAAAGATTAACTAACAGAATTAGGTATTAACATACAATCTGTAGTAGTGTTACTGTGAAATACGTTTTCTTAAAGTGCACTTGTGTCAAAATCTTTAATAAGCATTGAAAGAGCTTTAAAATGTGCCCCATTTGACCTATGTAGCTGCAGGCGCTGTGGTAAAATATATCTTCAAAATTCATAACAGAGACAATGATATGGCAGCCTCTGTCCCCTTATTTTCTTTGGCAGCAGGGCAGCAGGGACTTGACATTCTGCCAGTCATCTAATGTAAAGAAAAAGTGTTGTCAGCTGCCAGAAATCAACTATAACCTGACTTCAGAGTCCCTGCTGTAATTATTTCAGAATGAATTGCTCCACAGTACCTGCAGCTATAACGGTCATTGTAGGGCTTGCTTTATAGTCCTTTTACTTCTTGTAAAGAACATAAAGCACAAGAAATATAAAGTACTTTAATGCTCATAGTCTAGCAACACAGCAGCATTCATCTATACCCACTTACTCTGAAGTCACTATCTCTATTTTGTAAAAGCTTCCTCACCAGCTTGGAGGCTTGATAAGAGCTGTAAGGTGGTATAGGTTTTGCAAAAAATAAAGAATAGAGAATAAGGGAAAAGGGGGCTAGATTTTCAATTAATCAAGAAAAAGGCATTGGACCTGGAACCTACAACATTTATAGGGTTTATGATATACATAACATAATTTGCAGCTAACAACACTCTTTTTCTCCTCCTTTTTAAAACATTTTTAAGCAATATGAAGCCTTTAATACGCTCTCCTCTCTCTGACAATCACTTAAATCGCTTCCTTCTGGTACTGGCAACTGGATGCTAATTGTTGGCTATACAAGTATATTTGTAATATTTGTATAGGACTGTATTTATAGAGAACACTCATGCATGGTCAGAATCACCAGTTGCTCTGAATAAAGAGATGCATCTGAAGTGCAAGCATACACAAAAGGTTTCTTTGATGCATAGGCCTATTGTATGCCTTGGTTGCCCTGCTCCGGGGTGAACACAATGCTTCACGTAGACATGAGTTTCCTCCAAATGGCCAATTACTTTGGTGATCACATTACCACTTCTGCACCATTCCATAATCACTAATGATTGTATGAAGGAGTAAAGGGGGACAAATTATTATATAGGTGTGTTGAATGAATGGAGTGCAATGACAGCCATAGTGGGGAGCACTTAGATAGGACCCCCAGTGAATCACAATGCCTAGGAACCATGAACATAACATCCAGATCTGGGATGGTTGAAACTCAGTTGCTTTGACTTACTATGGTCACATTTCCAGTGGAAACAAGTCAATTCAGCTTTTCTTCTAGTTGTTCACCAATAATGAACTGATGTTTATATATTTTCTATGCAACTGAGATCTTTGTTCTTTACTAGCAACAAAAGTGCGCTCGGGAATTTGTACTTGTAATTAATTGCTTCTTTCAAATGCATCTCTGTCCTGGTTACAAATTGATGACATGCTTGCAACTTTTTCTCTTTACCTTTGGGAGAGTAATAGGAAGCTTGCATACTGGTGTCCTTTCCTGTAAAGAGCTATCGTTTGATTGTCCAGTCTTGTAACTTGTAACAATGTCTTCCTTAGATACTCTGTAGAATGCTACTGTGCCTTTATAATGTGGAGAGCTGTAATTTCCAAACTCATCAACAACACTGAGATCTAAGGACATCCTGTGCATTTTCTGTGAGTGAAATGTCAGCCTATATGTCTTTTTAGAGTCTGTGCCATCTGAAAGAAATAAGGAAAATAAGGATATCATTGAGAGTCTTTTATCACTTACACAATGTATTCTTAAAGAACAAATATTTTACACCAGCTCATACCTGTCTTTACTGTGCAAGGAACTGTCATTAAATATTACCAGTAATTCATCTAAGGATTGTGTAATTACCAAGATTTCTACAAGAATAATTTCTAACACGTCTAATTATCTTCTTTTTCATAATAATAAAAAACACAGTCTGCTTGTACAAATAACACAAACTATTATAGTCATTCATATCTTAATTGCACTATTTGTTCAAAGCCAAACTCCAGGCTATTTTGCCCCCTGGTCTGTTAAAAAGAAGCTCGGGCCACATATTCAATCTGGTGCTGTTCCCAGCAATACCTCTTCTTCACTACAAGATGTCCTCAGTATTCCAGGTTGTGATTTCCAGCATCACATAACCCAGAAGACTGAGGGCATACTGTGACTGCAGGGTATCATGGACTCATATCATGGTGCCTTGTATTTGCTGTGTATTGTTGCATCATCAAAGATCCTCTGGCTAAGAGAAAAGATAAAGAGGAAGAGGAGTATGTGTAAAAGTAAGGAAAAAGTAAGTTCAAAAAAGAAAACAGCATAACATACTTGCAGGGGACCTCAAGGGTGGGAGGCGAAGAGGCCTGGGGGGAGGGCATGGAGCCTAGAAGTGGTCTTTAAACATTATTAGTGGTGGCTAAACACATGATAAGATTCCTTGCATTTAGCACCTTATAGAACCACATTTAGCAGCCATAAACTCCTGATCAGACTTGCACTATGGTTATGATGATTATGAACAAATTTGTGTTTACAAAACTAAGCCCATAAATGATTAATCCTTAGAAATCTGTAAAGCATTCCAGCAAATGTGCAGTACGGCGCTTAGTAGGAGCAGTGAGAGTACATATCAGTGAAAACTCTGTACTGGGATGCTAGAAGCTATAGTCAAAGTTGAACTGGTCTCAGGTTTGCATTCTTATTTATTACAGGGAATTTTTGGGAAGGGCAATGGGGGGGAGGGGGGGGGGATGTTCCTGGTTTTTTCCTTTATTCTTTTCAGTTTCAGTTTCAGTTTCAATTTCATGAGACTATTTGTTAATTAATATGACTTATTTTATGATGATATCACATTTATACAAGTTATTGCTAAGGTTTCATAAACTTTATGCATATGCACACAGTACAGTGTGTACTATACTTTGTGTAACTAAAGGTTTTTCTCATTGTTATTTCTTATCATTTGAAAATATTTCAATATATTTTTTTTATTTGAGACAATAAGACAGATTAACCACTTAAGACTCAGGTGATATTTTAAGACAGCACCAAGTGCAAAATGATCAACTCCTAGGCTTCTGATCCTGCAACACAGCCCTTCATAATGATCATTGGTAGAAGGCGCTGTAGGCACACGTATGCATTTCATTTTTATACGTGATATGACTTTATCATAGCATTTGTAGTCCATTGCTGGCTGCAGCCAGAAATAGATCACTGTTAGACTACCCAGGTCTCCAAAAATATGTTTTTGACTTTTTGCTTTTGTAACTTTCTTTAAATAAAATGTCATAATGCTGAGTTCAAAAAGCTTTAATACCACGATAGCAAAAATCTCCACTTTCCACCAAATTTAGTTTTCAAATTTATTGGCTGTAATCAGAAAAAAAACATTATTTCTTGAAAAATAAGGATTTACGCCTATTGCCTTGATGATACATTCTAGCCCAAACCAAAAATTAAACCTTGTGATACATACAGGAAGCACAGTCAACCTGCTCAGTACTTCAGTGTTGCTGTAATTCACCAGTACTTCCCACTTCCTTTTGTTGGTAATGTGATCTAAAATGAACATGCTGATGATGCTGCTGGAACACCCTCTTACATAATCTTTGCATACAAAAAGCCTGTTGTAAAAAAAGTATATATGTGTGTGTGTGTGTGTTTGATAGAGCTACCAATAACATTCACTTCTGCCTTGGAAGTTTGAATTGTATTGGTGATGCAGAAAGAAGAAATGGAGACCTAGCTTCGGTAAGTAAACTCCAACTACCTGTCAACCAGTGGCGTAACAACCGGGGGGGCAGCAGGGGCGCGGGCCCCGGGCGAAAAGTGAAGGGGGGGCGCCGGCCGAAAATGGCACTTTCGGCTAAATGCCGAAAGTGACAGTTTCCTGCCGTTTTGTCGGCGTGGCCGTGATTCCTTTCATCCCCGCTGGGACACAGAGCAGTGCCCAGCAGGGATGAAAGGAATCAGAGAGAAAATGACAGCCGGCCGAGCGCTGCGGGACGAGAGCTGTGAGCGGCCGGTGTCTTTCCTCCCACACCGCTCGGCCGCATATCACAGTGCAGCAGAGCGGTGTGGGGGCGGAGACAGCCAGCGCTGTCACAGGAGGCTGGGCTCTCCTCTTGCAGCCTCCTATGACAGTGTGTGTCAGAGAGGAGAACGGGTACAAGCACTCAGTGATCAGTGATCGCTGAGTGTTTGTACATAATTGAGGACCTGGTATGCTATCTATATCCTCAATTATGAATGAATGGGAAGTGCATCACCTCCTGTTCATTCATAATTGTAGTTATAGTAAACATACCATGTTATCAATGAACAGGAACACTCATAAAGGATTCCTGTTCATTGATAACAGGGGACACAGAAAAAGAGATTGATGACTCTGTGTCCTCAATCTCTTTTTCTATTTTTAAAGGGAAATATCAGGGGTCTGTTTAGACCCCCAATATTTCCCCGAAGCCCCTAAAAGTAAAGTAAAAAATAAAAATATTTAATAAAAAATTAATTAATAAATAAAAATTAATTTAAAAAAATGAAAAAGTTTCTAAAAAAATAAAATATTAAAATTTGAAAAATTAAAATAAAAACATGTGTGTGTGGGGGGGAGGTGCAGGGTACAGTTCTAGTGGTTGTTTATATAATGGGGGGGGGGGCAAAAAAAATTTCTGCCCCGGGCGCCCAGAACTCTGGTTACGCCACTGCTGTCAACTGATATTACATTGTGATAGAAAAATGTGTACTCACCTGTTGCAGATATGTTGCCACAAAACAAAAAATGTATTTGGTCTCCTTCTTGAAGAGCTATTCCTTCAGAGGGCTCAGGGGGTCCAGTGTATCCAGCTTCCGTTAAAGCTGAGATTTCCCAGTTTAACTCCTTAGAGGGAACCAGTTCTACAATGATGTTGTGAAAGTTGTCTTTCTTGTTATACAAAACCACATTCACCAATGAGCTGTGTATAGCAAATTCCAGATTATGAATAAATTGAATCAAATGTGGAGCATCCATAGCTGAAGACAGACGAACTACAATAAAACTGAAACATACAGTAATCGATTAAAATGTGCTTTTAATCTTGACCTTATAACAAGCAAGCTGTCAAAATATCAGAATTAAGGGGTCAATTCACAAAGCTGCCGTAGGCAGCCGTGTGAATAACCGACCCGAAGTGAAGTGAGCCGAACGCTTTCCGGTTATTCCCTTCAGGCTTGTACGGCTGATTTCAGCCGCACACCAACTAAAATCAGCCATACATCGGCTAGCTGCGGCTGGCTTCGGGTCAGCCAAACATGCTCAGCATGTTCGGCCAACCCGAACTGCAGAAGGAGTTTGGATCGGCTGAGCCGAACCTCCGGCAGGCTACTCGCTGCTGTTCAGCCTATTCACATAGATGCCGAACAGCAGTGAGTGAATAGCCTCTGTGGTACCGAGCAGAATAGAAAGTTAAAAAAGTAGAAAAAATAAATAGAAAACGATTGGGCGGAGCTAGCAGTGACAGCTAGCTCCGCCCAACTGTTTTCTATTGGCCGAGCAGTTCTGCTGCCGTCAGAATAAAAAAATAAAAAAGCCAATAGCAAACTAGCTATTGCAAAGTGAAATAGCCAATAGGAATCTAGCTATGCATTCCTATGCTGGCTTTTTTTTCTGACCTGAGGGTGGCCAGCGGCCCCATGTCAGAAAAAAAAAGAAAAACAGATCGCAAGGAAAGGTTTACTCTGCTCGACCGAGCCGAGTAAACCTTTCCGGGACAAAGTGTTTCTCTCCTGGGGGTCAGGAGCCGTATTAGACTCCCAGAGCGTCCGGGAGAGTAATGACAGATAGCGTCCCTGGTTACCAGGTAACAAGGGACACCATCTGTCATTACACACTGAGAACCCGGAGAGGCTGTTGTGATATCATAGCAGCCCCGCTGGGTTCTCAGTGTGTAATGACAGATGACGTCCCTGGTTACCTGGTAACCATGGACGCTGATCTCTCTGCAAGTGGCCGGAGCCAGCCGTTTGGCCGCCTTCGGCTTTCACCTGGGCTCAGTCGAGCCGAGGCATATGCCTTCGGCTCGACTGAGCCGCTCGGCCAACTTCGGGAGCTGTACGAGCTATAGGGAATAGCCCGTACAGTAGCCCTTCGGTTCTACTGAACCGAAGGGGTCCTGGGGCCAAAACTAGAAGAAGGATCAGCCTAAGCTACGGCTAGATCATTCGGCAGCTTAGTGAATAGACCCCTAAATGATTTTGTTAAAATATCAAGGTCTTCGTTGGCTTCTAGCTTTCAGCTACCCAAACTTGCATATGCAATGGATGATAACTACATATTTGGATGAATATATGATTGTGTATACGTGTGAAATGGTGCCTGAACCCATGGTAAAATACACATTTTAATGCACATTACTTGTAAATATGTGAATTGGCCTTCATGCTGGAAATGCACCTTTGCCTTTTTCGGCATATAAATCAATGAAAACACATCAAAATCAGTCTCAACATGTGTTGTAACATACATTAAAACACACATCAATACAAGTTAACATGCACTGACATGCAATGCAAAGGGATTTGCAATACAAGTTTAAAAGCAATGGAAATCACATTATGAGGGGAAAAAATGCACCAAAAGAGAAATATCTTTTCCCATCCTGTATTGCAGTGCACTACATACACAATAGTGCATAGGCCTTTTTGGTGATTTTTTTTTTTTACATTTCAAATGAATGAGCTGCCGTAACAAAACACAAGGTAATGCATATATAAATGCACGAAAACAGTGTGAATTTATTCTAAGGTCACTTTGTGTGATGTGTTCTGGTGCCATTTATTCAGAATAGCAACCCTGATACACACTGTGATAAAAGTTCTGCACTGAAGCACACTACAACACATACTGTGCACAGAAGTGTGTTAAAAACTAGCTTGTGGTCTGGTTTTAGTTGTGTTGTTTACTGGCAGCCTACTCAAACTGAATGGGCTGCCTTAATGAAATGTAATTTGGCATGAAACACAACACACAGTAATGTGTCTGTGGTAAGGTGTGAAGAGGATAAAAGTCAGGGAGTGAATGCAGTGCCATGTCTTTGCCAGTGAATCTAGTCTACAACATTTTGTAGTTCAATGATACCCATAAAATGCAAAATATCAGATAACAAGTATATGGAATAGTTTACCTCTGTAAATGTTCACTCATTTCAAATGAAACAATTCCATTCTGCACATTCTTCACCACAATGTCATCCAAGACAATCCACTGATCTTCCTTTAATGCCAGCAATTTCAGTAATTCACTTGGATTATCCCCATGCTTCCTCACTGAGGCACTTACAGCCCTATAATGTAATAACAGGGTATTTGTGGATCTAACCAAGTCATTTACAAATAAACAAAGCTTTCCATCTGGAGATTATATTCAAATCCTGATATTGAAAGTGATTTGAAGTATAAAAGTTAATAATTATATTTATGGATGTAAAATTCTTTGAGCAGGTGGCTAATATGCACATTGTTACTTTGCAAATTGCAAAATAGACAATGTGGACAGTTGCGGTGCAGGACGGTAATGGTAAAACAAAAGCCTTCAATTGTTTTCATAATGATTTGTTCAGTGATGGAGCTGTTTTCTGCTTGGTCCCATTGCTTCAAATTGCTTTTAAAAAGCAACATCTTGACAGAAGCGACAATTGTATGTTTTCCGAAATAAAAGGATATGTCCCCTCTGAACTGGTCTTTTAGTTTTAGAGAGATGATGAATTGTCATCAAACGTTTGTGGATAGATCATTTCACCTGAATTTCCAGCTACCCCCTCCTGCGTTGATGGAATGGAATTTCACTTTCCCTATTATATATTTTTAATATTTTGGAGAATGACTAAGTGCATTGAGGATGCAGAAGAAGCAATGAGATTCCATGGTATAAGACAATTGGGTGATTAGGCTCAGCAGCAGCTACTCATAACTCATATTTTATATATATATATATATAGTGCCCAACAAAAAGTTAAATATTACCTATAGGTGTAGCTTGTTGGCAGAGTTAGACCCTAGCTTTTTGGAATCTTGAATAGTGCAACAGTGAAATCTCTCACTGAGAGTACAATTTCCTAGTTCTGTTCTTTTTCACTCTACTTTTCATATTCCACATCATGGACTACTGAAAAGTCCAACAGAGTAAGCAAGACACCCACATAATGGCCTTAGCATGTATGCAGGAACTCAAGAAACATATGCTGAGCAATGGTCAAAGTTTAAAGAGCACATATAGTCAACATTTTTAGTTTTAGTTTTTGGACAGTGTGGGAGTTAAAACCGTTGTGAGTTTATTTCTTGCTATCTCTGTACCTTTGGTGAGATTTCCATTCTCTTCCTGTGCTGGGGAGATATGAAGAAGTGAGCAGAATTTTCTGCATAACAAAAATTCAGAGAAGCAAGTGTCCCTAATTTCACCTCTATTCTTGTTCTGGTGACTGTGCAAATTTGGATTTCCCATCATTTTCTGTACTAATTACAGTGGTCACTTGGACAAACAAAGAGGATTATTTCTATCCAGTGGGGACACAGAAAAACTTGACAGGGGTTCTAGCGGTTCTCTATTTTATCCAAAACTACATGGTTATACATACACTCCCCACCATCTATTCAAAACTGACAGACATGGGTGGACTGAGCTATAATCTCTCTCTGTTTTTTATGTGGCTGTCTTCCCATTGGAGAGACCTCTCATTTTTTTTGTGCCAGTGAATAGAGGTGAGAGGGACAGGAAGAATTGAGAAATCACTCCAGTGAAGACAGAAATAACACTCAAAACATATTTTTCAGTACAGGGAAAGGTCAGAACATCTTTAAGGTTTTTTTTCTGCTATGTGTGCTTTTTATGTCCCGGTGACCCCCAATCCCTCATTGCCATGGTGACACAGGAGTGTCAGTGGGACAGAGTGAGGGTCAGTCTCCCCAGTGAGGGTTTAGCCAGCAATGACATCCTACCAGAAGTTATAAACCTGTTTTACTTTACATAAAACTTAACAAACAAAAAAGTTTTGGATATATTTGGGGATTAAAAGAGAGTAGAATCTACAGACTCACTGAAAATCTGCAAATTTATTGATGCAGTTTTTGCAGGTGCATTGAACATAATGACGCTCTGGAACATAATAAAAAAACCAAGGGCAAACCTCAAATTTAACACAGACAGTTAAGGACCAGATTAATTTAGTATCTTAAATAGAAGACATCAATGAAGAATAAACAAATATTTTAAATAATACCATATAGCAGAAAGAGGATCCTTTTTATGCCAATTTGGGGGTGACAAATCCATTAAATTACAGGTTTGGTAGATGCCTTAAAGCTTTATGTGGTGTTACGGAACAGAACAATTTTCACAGACAGCCTCAGAGACACCATTACTGGGCAGCACAAATTTTGACTGTGGAATTTATTTTTTTCTTTTACAATTAGCTTGGCTCACATAGAGCAGCACCCCAATCTGATCCGAGTGAATAACCGACTGAAAACAACCGTGCAGGGTTGAAGAGAATAGCCGGATAGTGTTCAGCTTCTTTCACTTCAAGCCGGTTATTCACTCGGCTGCCTTCGGCAGCTTAGTGTAAACCCCCTAAGAATTAAGGGACTGCAGATGATAAAGCAGTGAAAAATTAGTTATCGAAAGGACATTTTCACTTCTGAACTTTTTCAAGGAAAAAAGTAAATGATGAGTACAAAATAAACATCGGAAGAAAAAAACAGAAGTAGTTTTACAATTACAGAATTATCCAGAGTCACTTCAGTAGGTTACATTTTAATACCAGGTTCGTGTGCAGGACAGGTAATAATTACTGTACTGGAAGAAGAACACATATTGATTAATAATGAAATCAGCTATCATAATTGATTATCAATTATTTTCCATGTAGTCCCTGATTCAATGCTCAAGATGTAAGGACATGGTTTCCTGGATATTTGGTTGTGTAACAGAGAATAGGGCATAATCTAGTATTGTAAAGCTGATAGGAAGCTATGGGGTACTGGATCACAGTACCTATACTCTGTTGTCGGGTATTAAATTATAGGAAGTAGCCATTGGAGTTACTAATATTAGTTAGTGATCTCTACGTGATTGAAGAACACCATCTTTAATCTCCAGTAATTGATATATATTTGTCTGAGCAGAGGATAAATGCCCATGCTGACTAGGAGGATAGAAGTGCGTGATAGTGGGAGGCAGTAGCACTGGTTTCTTCCACCTAATAAATAATTTTCTTTCATAATATATTCTAACAAGGTAGGAGGGGTTGGGGGTTGCCAATGTAAGGGGTTTAAGGTTTTTGTGGCATTTAATGTGGCAGGGTAAGAGAATATCTATATTTATCTAATATCTATAGGTTGTTCTCCTATGCAAAAGGCAGACTTCCAGGTTTAGGAGTACTGACGTTCCTGTAATACTGGCTATTAATTCTGTGAGAGTTCCTAGAGGATTTAGGTCAGTTTCTGGATTCCCAGCATGTGTAATTGGTGTTGTAATAACAAGGCACCTTTGGAAATATGTATCTGAGGTGGTACAAGGAGATGTTAGGTGGGTTGTTAACCCTTTTGGAGGAAAGTCCTGATTGTGAGTAATAGGGGCCAGAATTACTGAAATATGTAAGCTGTAGGTTAAATGTTTATTTTTTTGTGTGAACTAATATGTGGTGGCAGGAGGTAAATTAAATCCACTCAGTTGTTATGATCTGTGTAACAATTCCAGTCTGTAATGCGTGCAGGGGTACATTCTTGGTAATGCCATTTGAAATTCAAAATGCCTATTAAAACAAATTGCTAAAGCTTGGTTCATTGGTCAAGGTTTAGCCTTGGTTATGTAGAGAGGACCACAGGAACATACTTGTGAGGGATCATCTGTAATAAATACAGTGAATGAGGCAAGATATTCATTTTGAGTACCGTGACACATCCAAACTAAGATAAGGGTTTGTTGATCAATTTCTTTAGGTCAAGATCAATTTAGTGGAGTATGGGTATATATATTTTTCTAAAGAAAGGTCAGACACATTTGCGGGAAACAAAATTCCCAAATACCTCATTGTTAGTCTTTCCCATGTTAATGGAAAAGATGAATTTAGGTTCTGGGCCAAGTCCAATTGGAGGGTGATGTTAAGGATAAATGATTTAGTAAAAATAATTTTTAAGTTGAAGATGTATCTGAAGAGTTTGAAAGACTTATTAAGATAAGGCAGAGATATATGGCGTTGGGGGGGGGAAAAAAAGGCAGCAACACAATAATCTCTATTTCCTATACAGATGCAATGAATGGAGTCATGTTGGTTAATTGTCCTAACAAAGTGTCAAAATGAACAGAAGTAGTAAAAGTGGTCAAGTGTCCTATTTGGTATATGGAATGGATGTGATAAGGTACCACTGGGTTAAATCTAAGCTGCAGGTGAGAGTATAGGAACGAGATCCAATAAATCATAGTAGTCTTCAATCCAACATGCTTCAGAGTGGTTCACATATCCCAGGTATCCATCGACAGTAGAAGGCTCTGAATTTGTACTCTTGCATTTCGGGAAGAGGCTAGAGATTTTTGAAGCCTATTCAAAGGGATAGATGTGATTATTTAATGCTTAAGTTACCTAATTTGATGGGTTCCTGTGACTTTTGAAGCTGCAGCACTTGATGCCCTTTTATCTGATTCATCTCTACTCTTTCTTTTCTCTAGGTTTGGAGGACATGGTAGGAAAACTGTGAATGGCTTGTGGAACACCTGAGTTGATGGCTGCTTCATGTGGACGAGTGGACTGGTAGATACCACTGGATGGTATATGTCCTGTTTTACCTTGAGTACAGAAATAAGTGAAGTATCGATAGGCTGGACCTATATAGTAAGCACAAAAACATTTTAAATTGAACAAAGTCATAACATCAATCATATACTGTACTTTATTTTGTCTAAAATATTGTAGAATATAGTTTATCAAGTTTTTAAAGGGTTAGTCTATCTAAAAGCTGATGAAAAGCCTACTAGCTTATTTCATCATTGCAGTAGGCGCTCCAGACTAAATTCCCTGACCAAGGCGCCACAACATATGCTCTTACTCCTCCTAATACTTTCTCCATAATGCAAGGTAAACAAAAGATTCAACAGAGAGCGTGAAACTCTTTGTCAGGAAGTGTTTGTAGAGATGGCAGAGATCTTGCCAGCCAAAGTCTGGTGAGATATAAAAAACTAAGCAGTATTTCAACTTGAAAATGGCACGTGCAATTAGATAAAGCCAGTGTTTTTAGACCACTCTAGAGTCCATCTCTCAGTAGTGTCTTGCAGTTTTGGCTGGAAATGCATTTCTTAAATCCAGACCTTCATGTCAACACAAAATGCCAGATGCACAAATTCAGTTTGTATAACATGTTGCTAATTTCAACACAGGTAACTCATAGGGGTCTATTCACGAAGCAGCCGAAGGATCTAGCCGTAGCTTCGACTGATCCTTCGGCTAGCTTCGGCCCCAGGACCTCTTCGGTTCAATAGAACCGAAGGGCTGCTGTACGGGCTATTCCCTATAGCCCGTACAGCCACCGAGGTTGGCCGAGCGGCTCAGTCGAGCCGAAGGCATAAGCCGAGCTGAAAGCCTGAAGCTGGCCGAATGGCCAGCCATTGTCCGTCCGACAGCCTGCTTCTGCAGACTCCTCCACCTGGCACTGCTGGAGCAGAAAGCTTTTTGAGCCAGGCAAAGGTGAGGGTTCACATCACTAGGACTTGCACAAAGATTTCCCAGCTTTTGGAGGCATAATAAATATATAAATACAATGAACCTTCCTTTAGAGCAGACCTTCTTAATCTGTGGGTCGTGACCCCATGTGGGGTCGCGCAAGTGAGTGGGGGGGTGGCGATCGAAATTCCGCAGCCATCAGAGGGTTTCAGCAGGTACTTGAGTGAGGGGCCCATGCAGCCTGGAATGTCCGGGCTCCAAGAAAGTTTTTTTGTTTGTTATAGTAATGTGTGTCGTTTACTGTGTGTACTGTATGTCCCGCACCCCCCCTCCTCCTCCCTGCACTTGGTAGCTACCTAGCTGAGTACGTGCAGGAAGGTTTCTGTTTAGGGGGCGGAGCTTCTATTCACACGGCAGAAGCTTCAAGGCTGGAGCGGAGGCGCTGGAGTGTGAAAGGTAAGTTTTCCAGCAGACATTCCAGGGGGTTGGTGATAGATAGACAGACTGACCAACATTGGGGGAGGCAGAGACTCACACCTAACTATGTTGTGTGGGGGTGCAGAGGAGAGAGTCATACGACCTATGCTGGGTAGGGGGAGGCAAAGTGTGTGTGTGTAGATGCTGCTCTAAAATCTTCACTGTTAGGTGTGTATGTGTGTGTGTGCATGCGCGTGCATGTGTGCTGCTCTAAAATCTTCACTGTTACGTGTGTGTGTGTGTGTGTGTGTAGATGCTGCTCTAAAATCATCACTGTTACCTGTGTGTGTGTAGATGCTGCTCTAAAATCTTCACTGTTGTGTGTGTGTGTGTAAGGGCTTGTTCACACCAATTGCGGTGCGTTCCAGAGTGGTAGCTGCTGGAACGCACCACAGTCGCTCACAAAACTTCCACCTGCGTTCTGGAAGTCAGTGGCACCACAGCCACGCACCCTGCCCGCATTGCGATCGGAGGGGTGGCAAAACATTGCCTGCGTTCTGTACTACTGCAAACACAGAAAATGCTGCATGTTCTATTTTTTTGCATTTGCAGTGGAACAAAATGCAAGCAATGTTTTGACACCTGTCCGATCGCACTGTGGGCAGGGGGGCTTGGCTGCGGTGGCACTGACTTCAATGCACTGCCACACCCCCTCCCGCCCCAGAACGCAGGGGGACGTTTTAGTGAGCGATTGCGGTGCGTTCCAGCAGCTACCGCTCTGGAACGCACCGCAATTGGTGTAAACAAGCCCTAAGTAAAACACACACAAGCTTATTATAAAAAGTATATATACTATTAATCACAATTTCTCTAATCATCCCACTGCCCACACAAATGCTGTATTTCTCCCACATGCAGTGCAGTAACACAATTTTCCAGTGAGGTGCCACTACACTTTTTTTTTTTGCCCAGTGCACCACACCACCGCACAGCACTTCTAAGGGTCCGTTCACACCAACTGCGGTGCGTTCTAGAGCGGTAGCTGCTGGAATGCACAGCAGTTGCACACTAAACTCCCCCCTTCGTTCTGGGGCAGGAGGAGGCACAGTGCGCTTGGATGGGTAACAAAACATTGCCTGCGTTCCAGTCCAGTGCCAACACAAAAAAATTCCGCTTGCGTTGGCACTGGACTGGAACGCAGGCAATGTTTTGCCACCCGTCCGATCGCACTGGGGGGGAGCATGGTTGCGGTGCCATTCACTTCAATGCACTGCCCCCTCCGGCCCTAGAAAGAAGGGGGGAGTTTAGTATGCGACTCTGAACACACCGCCGTTGATGTGAACAAGTCCTAAGACACCACACAGCCCCCGTCTTAGCTGACTGTCCGCATTACCTGGAAGTGCTGAAGTCAATTGGTGTGAATGGGCCCTTAAGGGTTAGTTCACACCATCCTCAGTGCTTTCCAGCCCAATTGCAGCCAGAACAAACTGGATCGCATTGCGGCCAGCTCAATTTGTTGTGGGGCGTGGCAGTGAAGGGAATGGCACCGCAGCCACACCCTCCGGCCACAATGTGGTTGGCCGCACGGGAAGGCACATCAATGCCTTTGGTCCGGTCATTAAAAAGGCTGCAAGCACTATTTTTTTCAGACCGGACCAGACCCGAATGCAGGCATTGATGTGCCATGCGTTCCCGTGCGGCCGATCGCATTGTGGCCAGAGGGCATGGCTGAGGTGCCATTCACTTCACTGCACCGCCACGCCCCATCCCGCCCCACAACAAATTGAGCCGGCCGCAATGCGATCCAGTGTGTTCCGGCCACAACACACTGATGATGATGTGAACTAGCCCTAACTGTAGGCACTATGCTGTCATGCAAGCAGTCTGACACAAATTTTTCATTTACCAGTAAATGTTTGATTTTATATACCTTTTCAATATACCTGGGGTCACGTAAAAATTTCCTTGGACGAAAAGGGGTCACGAGTGGAAAAAGTTTAAGAAGGCCTGCTTTAAAGGAGTAGGGGGAAATAACATTCCGTGAGACGGGTTTTGAGATTTTTTTTAGAGAGATACTGTTCCTTTGAAATTTTTAGTGTCATTATCACTGAAATTACTTTTTGAATGAAACCTTATTTCAATATGTGACATATATATTTACTAGGGATGCACCGATACCTATACTAGATACAAATTGTCAGGGACCGGAGCACCTCCAGGTAGCACTGTGGCACTGGAACCAGATCCTGCAGTTCCAGTGCTCACCTGCAGGTGTCTCCAGCCAGTAGCTGTCAGGTACCAGACCACCTATGGGTGGCACAGTGGTGCTGGAACCTGCAGTTCCGATGCTCACCTGTGAATGTCTCCCAGCAATTAGTCCCTGCCTGGTGCTGGTCTGGGGAGGTATTTAGCCTCTCCTTGCAGTAAGGCCTGTGCTTCAGTATTGTTGCCATAGCCTGTATCCTGTTGCCTCTATCCTTTTCCTGCCTTGTACTCTGACTTGGACCTGACTCTTGACCCTTACCCCAGTGGCTCCCCCCTTCTTGTCCTGCTCCCCAGGGGTGTAATTGTTACTTGTATTTTTATATGTTACTTGTGGGTGTTGGAGGGGATGCTTATGGTGGTGGTGTTTTTTGGAATAGCTAATAAACTACAGTTCATAAGCATTATTTGGTGTGGTCACATATTTGGTTCTCCTGTATAGATACCTGCACGGTGTGTGTGTGGACACCCATGTCCGGTATCTTGACACAAATGCTCCGATACGTACCTGCTATACCGAGAAGCTGGTGTTCCTTTGATAGAACACAGGCTTTCCAGGACTTCTTGATAATCGGGGCACAGGGCACCAGTATCGGCGAGTACCGAGAAAAAAAATATCTGTATCGGTGCATCCCTAATATTTACTAATATTTTGCTGGAGAGTAGTTTGTTTCCTGTAGTCAATATTTCTAGTTTTTGGAGCTAGCATAAAATCTATTTCTTGGAGTTCATTTAGGGAAACAGGTACAAAAGTAAGCCACAGACAACTGTAGGCTATCAGCACAGTGGTTTGTTGGTTAGCACTTCATCCTTGCAACACTGATATCCTTGGTTTGAATCCTGTCCAATCTGCATGAAGTTTGCATGTTGTGTTTGTGTGTGTTTCCTCCCACACGCCAAAGATATGCTGGAAGGTTAAATGTTTCCTGTTTAAACTGGCCCTAGTATGTGTGCATGCATGTGAGGTAGGGAGATTATATTGATTGCAGCAGGGGCTGATATGGATGTACAGTATGTAAGGCACTGTGTAAATTGTCAGTGCTGTATAAATGCCTATAATAAATAAAATACACCTGTAGGCAGCACCTCTCAATTGTGTCTGATTTAGCTTTGATCCTGTGCTTCTTAATTGACAATAAAGAACAGTTGTTTATTCATTCCTTTTTTGCTCCATGGGATTTTTCTTACTTAAGGTCAAATTTCCCTGAATGTTATTTATGGTTTTTAAAACTGAAAACAGCATAGCTCATCTAGAAAAACCATTATGCAGAGGTGTCTTAATACCACAGATGTTGAAATTCCAGGTGCTTACATAAAAGTCAGTATGCTGAATTACATATCCCCAAAGAGTCCTTATCATTTCCGGTACATCATTATGATTCTATTTTGTAATAATGTCTTCCCTACTTCTCTCTCTAAGACTGCTGTTTTGGGAAATAACTCTCAAAATTTATGCTCCAGATGCGGTACATTTACAGAAAAGGAACAGATACAGACATACCTTAAACTGCACAATTACAGAGGAGCTGAGGCAGCCTGGGGGGTAATTTAAAGAAATCCGTGAATCCACGCTCAGCTTTAAAGATAATCCTTTTCTAAGAACAGTAAAATTTTCTTTCTTTAAACATGATATGACAGAAAATGTTCCAAGCTGGTAGACCTTTATTTCTGCAAAACTTCCCTGTATTAAAAAAAAAAAGAAATATAGAACAATGAAGGAGGTTTGTAGGAAAGGCATTATTTAAAATAAATAAACAGACAGTTTCTTGGATATTGTTTTTGCTCATAAATCCTCATTAATCTTATACTTTGTATCATTCCTCACATTATTGTCCACTGTATCCATACTGCATGGCACTTTCCACTGAAATGTACTGTTTCTGAATGTGATTGCTTGATTGCTTGAACTGAACTCCAGAAATAAAGACGCAAATTAATATTACATCACTAATACAGTGATGCCGAACCTTTTTGAGCCTGAGGGCCCAAACCAAATCACTAAACTAACTTATGTATTTCAAAGTGCCAACCCTTTCAGGTGGTCTATAAGGGCTCTCAGATGGGCTCTGCGGCCTCTCAGGTAGTCTGTATGGGCTCTCAGGTGGGCTCTGAGGTGGTCTTGGTGGTCTGTATGGGCTCTCGGGGGGCTGGGCAGCTCTTAGGGGGGCTGCCTGGGCTCCCAGGGGGGCTGTGCAGCCTATCAAGTGGGTTATATGGGCTCTCTGGTGGTCTGTATGGGCTCTCAGGTAGTCTGTATGGACTCTCATGGGGGCTGTGTGGCTCTTGGGGCGCTGTGAGGGCTCACAGGTGGTCTGTGCTGCTCTTAGGGGCCTGGGATGGGCTCTCAGGTGATCTATAAGGGCTCTCAGGTGGTCTGTATGGTCTCTTGGGGGGCTGTGCAGCTCTTAGGGGGGCTGCCTGGGCTCCAGGGGGGGTGTGCCACACTCAAGTGGGCTCAAAGGGCTCTTAGGTGGGCTATATGGGCTCTCTGGTGATCTGTATGGGCTCTCAGGTGGTCTATATGGACTCTCTTGGGGGGCTGTGAGAGCTCACAGGTGGGCTGTGCAATTATTTGAAAGCTATGTATGCATTAACAAAGGCCTGCATGAGTGAGGCATAAACATTATAACTCATGGAAAAGGTGCCACAGCATGTTCATCAGAGCTATTGTGTATGAAACAGTACCAGATTAAGAGATTGTCACTCACATGTAAAAAAGTCAGTCAGTCTCTGTGCAGTCGCCGCTTGCAGAACCTGACTGTCAGCTGCCGCCTCACATGCTGAGCAGAGCAGAGATAGGCGGTGATGACCGTTCTGCCATATAACACTGCCCCCCAGTGTCCATACACTGCAAATACACCATCCTAAGCCTGCACATGCGCCCTAGTAGCATACTGGCATCTGTACAGTGGCTTCAGCCGGTTTCTGACAGAACACTGGACCTGGGATTGCATGCCAGCAGAAAGGGTTCTGCATGCCCACTCTGGAACACGTGCCATACGTTCACCATCACTGCACTAATTCATTATTAAATTGAATGCATATACCTAAATTTGAATATGTACCAGCCTTTTCCAATCCCCTGTACAACAGAGCTCAGACTGGCAGAGAAAGAAGTAGTACATGGAGCCAGTCAATTGTGCTAAAAAGGAACATACATAATAGGAGGAGAGAGCAAAGTAAAGGTGCCCATACACCTGCCGATTATCATACGATAGTCGCGGGTGATCCCGCGATCGTACGATAATCGGCAGGTGTATGGAAGGCGTGCAACCATTTCTACTGTACGGTCGCACATCTTATTTCTCCCGAGCAGGCTTGAAAACCCGCCCGGGTATCGTACGATTGTCGGCGGGTTAGTGGCGTTCTCGGGAGACAAATGCCGCACGGGCCGGTGTGTGCAAGTGCACACTGCCCGTGCGGCATTGGAATCTGCAGAAAGCCCTGCCCTCAGCGGGACCTGCTTGCGATGATCGCAAGTATGATCTGCCTGTCCAAGATGGGCAGATCATACAGGCTTTTAATTACTTTACAACCATCACAAGACGAGAGTCGTGCGATGGTTGTAAAGTGTATGGCCAGCTTTACAAAGAGTTCTCTTTTCACTGTCCAGTCACATGCTGGTGGAAGGACAAGACCTGCAAGCGTTCTTTAACTCCAGCAGATTATTATGAGGGCTCTCATATGCTGTGGTGCAGAGCTGTTTAAATTGCAGTTCTGATGAATAGAAATGACATTATTTGGCAGGCAGAACATCCCCTACATATGTATTACAGCTATTTATTTAAAAAAACAGAACAAAATAAAGCAAAAAAAAAAACAAAAAACAGTGTAGAAACCAAAGAGCTTTAAGCGTATTTCCTTAAATAAAAGAAATCACCTGTTTTTATTCATATTTACTTGCTAGGAGTTAATATTGCAGGTGTTTCTGCTCAGTGCTTGTTAAAATGTACACCAAACCCGAATCCTTAAGGTGCCCATACACTGCACGATTCTCGTACGAGAATCGCGGGAAATCCCGCGATCATACGAGAATCGTGCAGTGTATGGAAGGCGTGCAACCGTTCCTACTGTACGGTTGCACGACTTTTGTATTTCGAGCATGTTGGAAAACCAGCCGAGAATCGTACGATTTTCAGCTGGTTTTTAACATGATCGAGAGACAACTGCTGAACGGGCCGGTGTGCGCACGCGCACACTGCCCGTTCAGCATTGCAGGCATCGGAGGCCCGCCCCTCAGGGGGGCGGGCTTGCGATGATCGCAAGTACGATCTGCCTGTCCAAGATGGGCAGATCGTACATTTTTTATAAATTACTTTACAACCCTCGCAAGACAAAAGTCTTGCGAGGGTTGTTGGGTGTATGGGCACCTTTACATTAGCTGCTGCTCCCAGGAGCAGTTAATTAAAACGTATACATTATTTATTTATTTACACAGGAGTTTCTGATGCAAACCTGAAAGTAGAAAAAGTTCTGCTTTCACACCATGTTTTTTGTTATTTTTGTTTTCTTTAAATTGTTTTTATAAAATTGTTTTTATGTTTCCATGTATTCTATTTTTGAAGCATAAGAACTTATACACAAAATAAAAAAAAGTCTTAGTTGCATTTGTAAATTACTTTATCGTGCTTTGCAAAAGAAACATAATTTTGGTGTCATAATAAATGGGAAAATTTGCAGAGAAAAATAAGCATTTTATAACTAAGTGGCGCCAAAAAAAATAATTTAATTTTAAATGATCATGATG